AAATTTCTTGTGAAAATACCTTTTTAAATAAAGAAGCTCATTTGAGTAGAGTTTTCTGTAACTGACAGGCTACTAGTGACCTCTCAGCCCACCCTACCATGCACACTCCCAAAGTGAAAGCCCCCATGGCCATTAATTGCATCTTGCCCCCACAAACATTTTGTGAGAGGCGGAGAAGAAATTCTTGGTGTTGTACAAAGTAGAGACAGAGGCACAGAGGGGGTCACATGATGGGCCCCGACACAGGAGGGCTGGGTGGCACCTGGACCAGAGCCCATCCTCTGGGCTGCAGCTGTCCCTGGCATCTGCCATCTCCATGTAAGGTCACTGTCCATCCCATGCATCCAGCCTGCAGCCAAGGAAGATGGCAAGAGCCTGGCATCGACTCCCTGTAGGAACCTTGGAAGAGCCTTTAATCCATGAAGTCCCTCAACCTCATACTTGTCCTTCACGTGAAGGGACACTTTGTCTGTCTTCCTCTAAATAAAGGCTTTCTGTGTTTGAAGAATTCGGAAAAGAAACACCCATACCTCATTTCCTGAAGTTGAAACTTGTTTTCTGCGGGTGCAGCACTGCTCTTTTCTGACACTTTAAAGCCACCCTTTCTTGGGGAACACATCCCACTTGGAGGACTTCACCTTCCCCTACCATGGGGGAGCACATGGGACCCCACAGTAATCCATCAGGGAACTGCATTCTCCCTGATAGGTTCAAGGATCAGCATATGACCCATGCACAGCCCATCTGAATCCTCCCTGCAACATACTCCCAGCAGCATTTGGTTTGAGGAAGACTTTGTCCCAGGGCTTCCACACTGGCAGACCGTGAGCCTTGGGTGGCTGGGGCCCTCTGGAGAGAGCCTCATCAGAGAGATGGAGAGAAAGAAGCCTGAAAGGAAGGCTCGAGCCCCTGGATCCAGCCATTCCTGAACATGAGTGTCCCTCCATTCCCCAGTCGCATGAGCAAATACATTCACCATTGTGTCTGAGCCTGTGGGAGCTAGGCTTCAGCCGTTCAAAGCCAAAATGTCCCTGAGTCTCTCTGTAGACTCTTCTGCTCTTAGCGTCCAACTTTGGTTGCCTGGTAAAACCCCACAAGTGAGGAGTCCTGTCTGGGGTTGCCCCGAGAGAAGAAAAGCAGCTGGAAGGAGAACATAGAATTGCATTTGTGAGCAGCTTGGTGGTTTCAGAAAATCATTTCCAACTCCTGGAGCAAATTTCTCCTCCCCACATCCAGCTCCGGGACCGCAAGCTCCATTTGCACACACCATCGCCGAAGGGAGAGGCGGGTGGGCGGGCTAGCCAAAGCACGGGCTGAGGGGTGGATGGACTTAATCATTCTCTGCTCTTAATGGTAGCTAGTTAATTTCCTTCCCAAGGAGACCAACATTGACCTTCACCTTTGGCCCCCATTAACTGCTAGCAATGCTTTGTCAGCGTATTTATGACAAATTAATTACACAGGGAAGTTCTTGCTGGGAAAATGAGTATTCCGGTTCAGGCTGGGGGCGGGAGCTGCATTTTGATTACCCATTGACAGGGGGCCTGGTTATCCAGTTTGGGCAAATGCTGAGGCGTGCAACTGATTTGCAGCTCCATGCAGAAGGAAGACACCCCCAGAAAGAGTGAGCCAAACCCAGTTCTCATCCCCTCCTGCCTAGTGACTCATGTTTGCAAACTGGATACTCCATGAGAAAATACTTCGTAGATTCCAGATCGGCATGGTGGTTGAGCTAACTGAGCACTCCCGTCCGTGGGACAAAACCCCCATCCCCCATTGTGAATCCAATGGCTATGCCGACCTTGCTGCGTAGATCTGCCCAGTCCTCCTGTGGGCTGGCTTGTACAGCAGTGTCTGGTCCAAACCCCAAGCAGCTGTGGTCTGGTCCTCACCTCCCTCCCCTGCCAGCCTCCCTCCACCCTTCTTTGTGCCAGGCTCTCTGGCAATACCCAAACCGCGGTGGTTCTCTGAATAACTCAGCTGGTTCTGATCTTCATGGCTTTACCCAGCTGTGCCCCTGCCTAAAGCACCATTCCCACCCTACCGAGCCTCCTCTGTCTGCCTGGTCTTGAAAAATGGGCTCTTGAGAGTTTCTTCCCCCTCCAGGAAGCCCCCTGAATGCCTCCAGGCTGTGTCTGGGCACCTGTTGCACACTCCCATGATTCCCTATGACTGTTCCTGCTCTCAACTCCCTGCCCACGTGTGCCCCCGACCCGGCTCACTGTGCGCCTCTTTCGAAGACAGGACTTTGTTTCCCACCGTCAGTAGCCCAAGGGCCCAGCCCAGGGGTTAGCCTGCAAACTGTGGTGAGTGAAGGGCCTTATCCAGCACACGTTGGACCCTGGAGGTATAAAAGTTGAAAGCCTGAGGCCCTGAGCCCATGAAATTCCCCATGTGAAGCTGGGGAATGCGGCGAATTTCTGAGATTCTAGCCTGTCCAGCATCCCTTTTCTGGTAGCTTTAGAAAACTGCTCATCCATCACCCTTAGACCATGTGACTGGGGGCAGCTGCTTCTCATCCTGGTTCCACAGATAAGCCACGCAATACCAGTTGGCCAATTACTGCCTTCCATTGCTCTGGCCAATGACTGGTGGGGAATGGGCATGCATTCAAAGTCATCTGTTGTGGCTTTTGCTGTCGGGAAAGTCATCCCTTTCCACTGGGTAGCTAAGCTAGTGCTGTGGGGACCTGGAGCTGCCAGGGGCTGTCTTTGAAAACAGAGGAGCAGGGAGATGGAGTGAGGCTGAGTTCTAAGATATCACCTGAGCTCCTGGATCCAGATATTCCTGAAGCAGTTTCTATGCCTGGACTTGTCTGTTGAAAGAGCCAGTGCATCCCCTTTTGTGTGGAAGCAGGTCCCAGCTTTCTGTCATTTACAACCAAATAAGTCTTAATGGACATAGAGGTAGACGAACAACAAGGCAATGCTGGGGCAGTGAGGTGTGGGTTTGATGTGGGGAGCAGAGAAGGGCTCAGGAGCGGATAGGAGGCATCTGGCTAGGCTGTGACCTCGGAAATCTCCCTGTAAGGTCATGTATCAGGCTGAGTAGCAGTGACCTAAGGGAAGCAGGTAGGGGAGGTGAGGGGACAGCTGCACTTTGGAAGTGGAAATCCCAGTGGAGCCAGCTTCAGCACTAAGGGGATGTCTCATTTCTTCTAATGGGTAAGTGCAGGATAGGTCCTGCTTCAGGAATGACTGGATCCAGGAGCTCAAACAATGTCTTTCAACTCCACTTTAAGGGATGGAGTGTAAGCTCTATGTTCAGTCTAGGTTCTGACTAATATGTCAAGGCATCCACCCTAAAGTTCCTCCCAGTTCAGTTGGGCAAGGAGATATGAATTTGTTCAATAACTGTTTTTCTCAAGGCCCTGTGACAAGCCCGCTCCTCCCCATTAAGGTGACACTACCCAGGGGGCATCAGCTTTTGGGTGTCGGATCCAAAGGCCAGTGAAGGAGACACAGCAGTGTGAGAAATGCCCGCCTGAGGACTGGGTGTGGCTTTGGAGCTGGGGAGGCAGGCAGCAGAGTGCCTGTGTGTGTGCACCTGTGTGTGTGCGCCTGTGTGTGTGCGCCCGTGTGTGTGCACCTGTGTGTGCACCTGTGTGTGTGCAGCTGTGTGTGTTTATATGTGCACATTGAAGGAAGGACACAGTCTTTGTTCCACAATCACCCTGCCTGGCTGATCACCACCTTGCTCTATCCCTCTCCGTCTTCCTCCCACCATGCCCCAACAAATCCCTCCAGTACCCACCCTGCCCTGTGGTTCAGGAAATGTTGCAGAGCCCATACCCCTTCTATGGGAACTTAGCCCTTAGCGGGGTGGACAGGTCTGGTAAATAACACGCTGACGTAGTTTGGATGTGTCCCCACCCAATTCTCATCTTGAATTGTACCTCCCACAATTCCCACGTGTTGTGGGAGGGACCAAGTAGGAGATGATTGAATCATGAGGGCGGTTTCCCACATACTCTTCTCATGGTATTGAATAAGTCTCATGAGATCTGATGGTTTTATAAGAGGAAATCTCTTTTGCTGGCTCTTATTCCCTCTCTTGCCTGCTGCCATGTAAGATGCGCCTTTTGCCTTCCACCATGACCGTGAGGCCTCCCCAGCCACATGTAGCTGTAAGTCCATTAAATTTCTTTTTCCTTGTAAATCACCCAGTCTCAGGTAGGTCTTTATCAGCAGCGTGAAAATGGACTAATCCACCGGCACTCCCTACTGATTGGCCAGAAGAGGTCACATGACCCGTGGCTCGGCCAATGACTTCCATCAGGGACCCGGGGTGGGGCTGGGAAAGAAATTGCTCTTTGGGAGTTTAGCTAAAAAATCCTGAGAGCTCAAAGGTGAGGAGAGAAGATTCTAGAAAGGTCCGGTTATCAGGAGGTCAGGTGACCATGATGGGCCTTGAGGAGGTCAGACCTTGAGTAAGAAGAGAGTTAAGGCAATGTCTCAGTTGGCTCAGGCTGCAGTAACAAAATGCTTCACACTGAGTAATTTACAAACAACAAGAATTTATTGCTTACAGGTTTGGGGTCTAGGAAGGCCAAGATCAAGGTGCCAGCAGAGTCAGCGTCTGGTGAGGGCTTGGTCTCGGCTTTAATGATGGCACTTCGTTGCTGCATCTTACATGGAGAACAAGAAGCAGGACTAGCAGACCCCCTCAAGGCCTTTTGTGGGAGTGCAAATCCTATTCATCCTCCTGACTCCATCCCTTTAAATAACTGTTTTTACCAAGGCCCTGCTTCATGCCATTGCACTGGGATTGTGGTTGGTGGTTGTTGTTTTTGTTTTTGTTTTTGAGATGGAGTCTCACTCTGAAACTTCTGCTCCAAACTCAAATGATCCTCCCTCCTCAGCCTCCCGAGCAGCTGGGACCACAGATGTGCACCCCCATGCCCAGCTAAGTTTCTGCATGTTTGGGAGAGACGGGGTTTCATCATGTTGCCCAGGCTGGTCTTGAACGCCTGAGCTCTAGTAATCCGTCCACCTTGGCCTTCTGAAGTGCTGGGATTACAGGTGTGAGCCACTGCACCTGGTTGGAGTTATGTTTTGACATGAGTTTTGTCGGGGCTCAAACATTCAAACCACAGCAGGATGGAAGGTAACTCAAGGCAGGTGCCCTGGGCCCAGGAATGAGTGGAGAGAGTGGCCTGGGCCAGTCTGGGGGTCTGAGCCCCACTCCCATCTACCAACCTCCTCTCAGCACACCAAGGGTTCCCCAAGGCAACTCCCTGCCACCTGCTTCTGGCCTGAACCCATCCCCATGCCAGGTCCATCCCCGAAAACTGACTCATGCAGGTTATGTACCAGGAAGCAAGCAGATCAAACAAGATGCTCATGGAAAGCAGCAAGCAGCAGGCTAGGTTCGCCAGCCTGCACTCACCCCCAGCCTGTGTCCAAGCCCCACGTGAGGCTGTGCTCTAAATTCCAGCTTCCCATCAGCTCCCCGAGTGTGAGGCTTTATCTTCGCCGTGGCTGCCATCTGCAGCTTTGCGACACCTGTTTCCAAGAGTCATAGCTTCCAGCTTGGGGCTGAGATTCGTGTGGTTGTGAGTGATGGGCTGACCAATGTCTCCAGGAAAGTGACTTCTGGGTTGCGTGTCTGCGGGATGAGGAAGAGAAGATGGGGAAGAGAAGATGGAGGGTCAGCTTCACAGACACGTGGCCTGGGCATTTGCACAGGGACCCACTCTTGGAAGGATCCCGAGCTCCGCTTGAGGCTTCGTTGTTACTGTCTTTAGATTCGTACTGAGTCTTGAACAGGGAGCCCCACCTTTACGCTTTGCACTGGGTCCCCAGATCCCATAGCCAGTCCTGTCCTACTTTCACAGCAGTGAGATGAAGGAGCAGAAATAACACCGGAAAGCCCCTATTGCAGGCTCTCCCAGTCCTCCCAGGGACCCCAAAAGAGAGCTGTACATGTTCTGGCACTGGCAGCCTCTGATTAGCGATTTCCTCAAACAAAAGAAGAAAAAAAGAAAACATTCCAGGCCGTACACATCTCAGGATAAGGTCCCGCCCGCCACTGGAGGAGGAAGTGACAGGCAGACCACATTTGATTGCACTGTACCTTGCTGTACTTTGCTTTATTACACTTCATAGATACCACCTTTTTTTACAAGGTGAAGGTTCGTGGCACCCTGAATGAAGCGTCTATCAGCGCCATGTCCTCCAGCAGCATGCGCTCACTTCTTGTCTCTGAATCATATTTTGGTATTCGTCATAATATTTCACACGTTTTCATTTTATCATATGTGTTATGGTGATCTGTGATCAGTGATCTCTGATGTTGCTACTATAATTGCTTTGCTTTGGGGTGCCACAAATATCACCAGTAAGATGGAGAACTTAATCAATAAATGTGTGTGTTGTTCTGACCTGTCACTGATCAGCTGTCTTCTCCTCTCTCTCTCTCTCTCTCTTTTTCTCTCTCTGTCTCTCTCTCCCTCCCTCCCTCCTCAGGCCCTCCTATCCCTTGAGATGCAACAATATTGAAATTAGGAAAATTCATAACCCTACAATGGGCCGGGTGTGGTGGCTCACGCCTGTAATCACAGTACTTTGGGGGGCTGAGGCAGATGGATCACCTGAGGTCAGGAGTTCAAGACCAGCCTGATCAACATGAAGAAACCCCGTCTCTACTAAAAATACAAAATTAGCCAGGCATGATGGCACATGCCTGTAATCCGAGCTACTCAGGAGACTGAGGCAAGAGCATCACTTGAACCTGGGAAGAGAGGTTGCAGTAAACCACGATCACACCATCGTACTCCAGCCTGGACAACAAGAGTGAAACTCCATTCTCAAAAAACAATCAATCAACCAACCAATCAATCAATCAATAACAAGTGAAAGGAAGAGTTGCATGTCTCTCACTTTAAATCAAAAGCTAGAAATGATTAAGCTTAGTGAGGAAGGCATGTCAAAAGCTAAGACAAGTCGAAATCTAGATCAAAAGTTAGCCAAATTGTGAATGCAAAGGAAAAGTTCTTGAAGGACATGAAAAGTGCTACTTCAGAAGACACGGGAGTGATGAGAGCGTGAACCAGCCTTATTGCTGGGATGCAGAAAGTTTTAGTGGTCTGGATAGAGGTTTGAGCCAGCCATAACAGCCTCTGAAGTCTAAGCCCAGTCTAGGGCAAGGCCCTTGCTCTATTCCGTTCTAAAGGCTGAGAGAGGGGAGGAAGCTGGAGAAGAAAAGTTGGAAGTGATCCGAGGTTGGTTCATGAGGTTTAAGGAAAGAAGGCATTCCCATAACGTGAACGTGCAAGGTGAGGCAGCAAGTGATGATGGAGAAGCTGCAGCGGGTTATCCAGAGGCTCTAGCTAAGATCATCGATGAAGATGACGACACGACACAGCAGGTTCTCACCGTAGGTGGAGCAGCCTTCTGTTGAAAAAAGATGCCATCTAGAACTTTCCATATCACGAGAGAGCGGCGATGTCAATGCCTGACTTCAAAGCTTCAAAGGGGACAGGCTCTCTTGTTGGGGATAATGTAGCTGGTGACTTTAAGCTGCAGCCTATCCTCATTTTGGAAATTCTAGAGCTCTTAAGAATGATGCTAAATCTACTCTGCGTTCTGTGAATGAAACAGCAAAGCTAGATAACAGCACGTCTGTTTATAGCATGGTTTACTGAATATTTTAAGCCTAGCATTGAGACTTACTGCTCAGAAAAAAATAGTCCTTTTAACATTTTACTGCTCATTGTCCATACCACAGGAGCTGGGTGTTCAGGATCCTGGGTTGACGTCCAGAAAAAAATTTTTGTTCTCATTGACAATGGACCTGTTCATCCAAGGGCTTTGATGGAGACATACAAAAGAACTGATGCTGTTTTCATGCCTGCTAGCCCAGCGTCCATTCTGCAGCCCACGGATTAAGGAGTAACTTCAACGTTCACTTCTTCAATAAATGCATTTTATAAGGGTATAAATGCCATGCAGAGTAATTCCCCAGATGGATCTCCACAGAGTAAGTGGAAAATCTTCTGGAAGAAATCACCAGTCTAAATGCCCTTAAGAACATTTGTGATTCATGGGAGGAGGTCAAAATATCAACATTAACAGGAGTCTGGAAGAAGTTGATTCCAACTTTCATAAATGGCTTTGAGGGGCTCAAGGCTTCAGTGAAGGCAGCAACCACAGATGTGCTGGGAATAGCAGGAAAACTGGAATTAGGAGTGGAAGAAGAAGACAGGACTGAACTGCCGCGATCTCACGACAGAACTTGAACAGACGAGTTGCTCCTTGTGGATGAGCAAAGAAAGTGGCTTCTTGAGGTGGAATCTATTCCTGGTGAAGATACTGAGAACACTGTTGAAATGGCAACAAAGGATTTAGACTTACATAAACCTAGTTGTACAGCAGCAGCAGGGTTGGAGAGGCTGGGTTCCAATTTTGAAAGAAGTTCCAGTGTGAGTAAAATGCCGTGGAATAGCATCGCGTGCTACAGAGCAAGCTTTCATGAAAGGAGCAGCCAGCGGCTGCAGCAAACTTCACTGTTTTCTTACTTCTGAGAAATTACCACAGCTGCCTCAACCCTCAGCAAACGCCCCCCTGATCCGTCAGCAGCCATCAACATCGAGGCAAGACCCTCCACCAGGGAAGACATCAGACTTGCAGAAGGCTCAGATGATGGTTCGCATTTTTAGCAATAAAGTATTTTAAAATTAAGGTATGTACATCATTTTTTCGATATGATGTGATTGATTGCACACCTAATAGACTAAGCATCATGTGCATATAACTTATATATGCACTAGTAAATAAAAAATTTGCATGACTTGCTTTATTGGGGTGCTCTGGAATTCACCCATAATATCTCTGAGCTATGCCTGTAGCTGTTTCTTGGGGTTAAAGAGAGGTGGGCGGGTCAGGGGGAGGGACAAAGATGCCATCAGCTCCTCTGCTGGAACCTCAGGGAAGAACGTCAGGATGTTGCAGGACAAATGTGGGAGTGTGGCCACGTTTTAAAAACACAGTGTTCTTTCCAGAAAGAGGAGTTTTCACTGGTCTGGCTTGAGACCCGTAGGGCTGTACGGACCTCCTGTGCTGTGGGGTCCTAAGCCGATGGCGGATGGCAGGCCGGTTGGGGGATGGTGGGATGGTGGCACACGCCCTCCTGGGGGTCCCCAGTGGCCTTGCAGGTTTCCGAGACTCCCTTTGCTGCTGGAGGGGAGTCCATGCTCCCAGGTGCTCATTGCCTTGGTCCCGATGAATGTGCTCCTGGCCTTCGCTCCGCAGCTGTCACATGCACATGGGACTCCCAGGGGTCCTGGAGGGAGAGTCTGAAGACGCATGGGCCAGGGTCTCCTCAGTGTGCAGGGACAGCAAGGGCGCGCCTTGGGATGAGGAGACCCTCTGGACTTCCAGTACATGCGTGCCCTGGATCTTCAGGCACTGTGGGTGGATGCCAGCCAGTCCTCCAGATTCAGCTAATCCATGTTTTCCAGCCACTGGTGGGATTGGGTGTGATCCCTTATTCCAAATCCCAAAAGGGTAGGAGCTGAAATCGCCCTAATTCTTTCTTTACATGGGAGGCAAAAATCTCATCCTGCCCTTCTCCTGCTCAAGGCCCTCCGTGGCTCCCAATTGACTTGGTATCGACTGCAGTCTGGAGGCCCTGGCTCAGCTCTCCATGCTCAGGTCACCCTCAAACCCATGCGGGTCCCCACACTATCATGTCCTCACCTCCAGGCCGTTGTCCACACTGTTCCGCCCACCAGGTGCCCCCGTCCTGGCCATCCCACCTTGCGCTGACCCTGTCCAACTTTCCAGCTGCCCCCACTCCAGGCCCTGAGTTGGGATCCCCAGGCTCTGCCACCAGCCTGTGCAGCCCCCAAGGACAGAAGTGTGGCTGGGCTGTGAACTGTGCTGATTTCCCCCTCTCCCCTCTTCCTGTGGGCAGCGGAGTCCCCTCCCCTGAGTCTTTGCCGGGCTGAGGGTGCCTTGACACGGGCAGCACGTCCCAGCCCCCCGGGGCTAAGTGTAGGCCCTCGGAACAGCACAGATGTGTAGCTGGGCTTGGTCACAGAGAGCAGCCGGCTCTCCACCCTCTTGGCCCTCTCCTTGCTGGTGCCAAGTTCAACCCCACAGATGAGGACAGAGCCCCAGGGACGACTCAGCACTGAGGTAAAAGAAACCCTGCTCTGCTCCCCTCACCCGGACATGAGGCCTGGGCTTGGAGCAGGCGGGGGCCACCATGGGAGGCATCTCCACCACGCAGGCCGGCCTGTTCCCTGATGCAAAGCCTCCTTTGCGTGGCAGCCCAGCACCTCTCTGGAGCCCCGAACAGTCACGACAGCAATGATGAGACTGTAACACTCCTGTCTCCAGAATGCGGGCCGGGCTGAGCTCCGCCTTCCTCACAGCCACTTAGAAGTCACGTCAGGCTATTCTTTCCACCCCACTTTACAGCTAAGGAGACAGAGGATCTCAGGTGAAGTGACTTGGGTAGGTCTCTCCACTAAAGGGACGGAGCCTGGAAGCTGTGACTCCAGAGCCGCTGCTCTTTGCTATGGGCGGGCACTGCCTCCTGACTCCGGAAACGAGAGATCAGCAAGTGATTGATGAACACAAATGAATGAATGAATGGAATGTGGGGAGACAGAGGACTTGCAGGGATCCACTCTGCCCCCCAGCTCACCTGCATCCTCCCCTGGCTCCCCATCTCCAGACCCTGCAGCTCTTCCTGGGTCAGCCGCCCCTGGGCTGATAGACATTTTGTTGCTGTTGCCGATGGTGGTGTCCTCGAGAAAGCACGATTTTATATGGATTCTCTGGGCAGCGTCCTCCTTGGGGTGAGTTCCTGGATTGGGCATTCTTTCTTCAAACGAAACTTCTGGGCCAGCAGCAGTGGCAGAGACTGTGGGTGAAAGGGAGAGAGGTCGGGAGCCTGGAGCAGCTGGACAGTGGCCCCGGAGCCCTGACCCCAGCCTGGCTCACGCTCCTCCCCAGACCTCCCATCAGTGGCCCACACCACCCCAGGAGCACAGCCTGTGCCTGGCCGCCCCACTGCCACACCTCCGCACAGCCGTCGGGATGCCTGGACGTGTCTCTCTGCCGGCTGTTGGGCCTTCCCCGCTGATACCACCCGGCTAATCTGGCCGTCAGTGTCTTCTGGGGTTCATCTCCTCCCTCCTCTGCTGCCTGCTTCCCACTGCACTGGAACACTGGCCCCCACTTTTGGTGGAAATCTTACAGGGGCTCTCAGCCTGGCTCCAGCCCCTGCCATCTGGCTCTGCTCTTTCCCACCCAGAAGAATCATCTACACTGCGTCTCGCCCCCTCCCGCTTCCCAGACCCCTCTGCTCCCTCCCTCCCAGAAACCACCCCCACAAGGTTACCACGATCCCTCTCGCTGAACCCCACAGATGCTTCCCTGGCCTCGCTGGCCTGGCCACTCTCTGGAAACTCCTCTCCCGGGGCCTCTGCTTTCCTCCTCCCTCTCTGGCTTCTCTGCTGGTTCTTCTCCCCCAGCCCATCTCTGCATTCTTAGTGTGGGGGAAGCCTTCGCCCGGGGTCCTCTGGTCACTGCAGCCACAGCACCTACTAGGGCTTCTGTCTTCCATCCTCCCTAGATGCCATTCCAGTCTCAAACCATCACTTCTGCCCCTGCTCCAGCTGGCCCAGCCTCTGCTTCTCTGGGGAGGTCATGCCCATTTTACAGATGAGGAAACTGAGGTTTCCTTCCTGCAGTGGGTAGTAGGGGATGGGGACCCAGAGTGCTAGCTTTATTTTATTTATTTTTATTTTTTGAGACAGAGTCGCACTCTGTCATGCAGGCTGGAGTGCAGTGGTGTAGACTCGGCTCACTGTAACCTTCGCCTCCTGGGTTCAAGCGATTCTCCTGCCTCAACCTCCTGAGTAGCTGGGACGACGGGTGTACGCCACCACATCAAATTTTATTTTTTTAAAGTAGAGACAGGGTTTCACCATATTAGCCAGGCTTGTCTCGAACTCCTGACCTCAGGTGATCCACCTGCCTCAGCCTCCCAAAGTGCTAGGATTACAGGCGTGAGCCAGCGTGCCCAGCCTAGAGGGCTAGCTTTAAAAGCCCCACCTGTTCTACGCTGGTTCAGCCGCCTGGTGACAAGGACTTTCCCATCATGCCTCTCTCCCCATGAAGACTTTGGCTCCAGTTCCTTCGAGTGGGAACCAAGGAAGGGGTGGCAGGGGTGTGTCTGGCCTGTTACCTGGGGGGCTGCCAGCAGGGCTGTGGGCAGGGCCCTCGGATGGAACGCCGAGAAGCCTCATCTCATTGCTGTGTCCCAGCTGCACTCGTCTGAGCATGGACCGCTCCATGTGGATGTCCTGGGGTGCCCAGGCATCAACCAGGGTCCCCTGAATTGAGGAGTCACCTGGTGCCATTGGAGGGAGGTGGCAGGGACCCACGGAACCTGGCAGGGGACAGCAGAACCACCTCACTGGAGATTGCCACAGGCTTCTTACCTCCTGTCACCACACACGGTCCTGGCTTCTGAATTCTTCCTGGACACCATCAAACTGGGGGCAAAGACTTCAGGCTCTTACTTAGAGAGCAGGAGGACCTGGCAGAACAGCTCATTTTGGGGCTCCCTGGGTTCTCAGGACTGGCGATGGTGCCTGGGTGTTGCAAGGACTCACAAGCCCAAACAGTGAGCTCCCCGCTGGTTCCCAGTCATTCTCCAGCCTTCTGGCCTCATGGGGATGAAGTCTCCTTTAATGCTGACACCAAATGCCTCAGAGCCTCCCACAGCATTTTAACTGCCAGGAATCACATTTATTTTTATGGTGATTTTCATGGTTTTAACCTAAAATAATACTATAATGTTGTTTTAAAATAAATTTTTTTAAAAGGCGCACTACTCAACAACATTAATTAAATAATCAGACATTGGTATGGCCGGAAGTAGGAAGGTGGGGCTCAGAAGATTAAAGCTGGAGAGACTATGATCTAGATTCTAGAACAAAGTTCCTCATTTCACAACTGGGGAAACTGAGGCTCACAGTGAGGAAAGTTTCTCCCAAAGTTACAGGGAGTGTCCTGACTTTGGGGCTGATGCTCTCATTCACAGGTGACAAGGCTGGGCTGACAGGTGGCTCTGTCCCCTCTTGCCACAGTGTCTGGCACGGGGTGAGTGTGCAGAGTGCAACATCGCATTTCATCCAAAGTAGGATGCCGTGGGTGGGGAGATCCACCCCAGTTTCCAGCCTGTTCAAATGTGGGAGAAAGAAGCATGTCTCAGAACAAATACCACTCTACCACAACCTCCCTGCGACATTCTTCGGGGGGAGAGGTCATTGAGTTGTTTCTCATGGAGAAACATCGGACCCCATTGAAGGCATAAGGTCAAGTGCAACACAGAGAGATCCCATCTTAATTTTAAGATTTTATTAAAAAATAAAAATAAGAAACTGAGGTCGAAGGTATCAGAGTACAGGGAAATCCGGACAACTTTGACCCAGGCGCCCTCGTACTCAGGATGGCCGTAATGTGGAAGCTCCCCTTTCCCCCTGGAGGGCTGAATGCCCCACCCTTGGCCAGGTGGCTTCTCTTGAGGTTGAGGTTGCCTCCCTGGCCCTCTCGGGTGACTCACCGTCCTCCCTGGAGACTGCCTGCCTCGTCATGATGTTCCCGTGTCCGATCTGGATGGCTTCCGAGTGTGCAATGGAAATCTGGCTGTTCGGTCCATTCTGACAGATCACATTGATTGGATTGTGCTGGTGAATAATTGAGGTAGACTCTGCTGTTCCTCCAGAATCTTCTGCAAAACAATATTCAACTCTAAACCTTCGCTCCTCTCTATGGGTCAAGGGTTGCCAATACCAGTGGGCAGCACCAAATTCTCCCGGGAGCTTGTGGAAACACCCTAGGGTTCCGGGTCAGCAGGACCAATTAGGGGCGCAGATCCGGGTGTTTAACAGACACCACAGGTACCTCAGAGGGAGCCTCGCTTAGAAATCGCCACTGCGAGTCACCCTACCTGTGTCCTTCGCTGCCGCCACAGCTGGGCCTCCATGATTGCTGGCTGGGAGGACTGCAGGGGCCCACATTGCTCTCCCAGGGGGCAGCCACAGCCCAGAACCCTGGGCACCCTTGAGTAGTGGCCGAGAGACAGCAGCCCATGGGACCAGATGGGGTGTGTTTGGTTCCCATGGGATTTTAAGTATTTGAATTTGTCAATGATTAAAATCTGATGGCTGTCACATGCTACTCCTTCCTCACAGCAGCTCTAGGATGCTGAGACCCCCTGGGGCACCCGCCATGAGCAGCAGAGACCACCCCACAGGGGCCGAGGCAGGCACCTCCCGGGACTTCGGGGGGCCCATCACCACCCTCTGGGGTCTCAGCTCCCGTGCCTTTGTGAGCCCTTCTCCTATATGCAAATATTTAAATTACATTGTATGACAAAGATAGCCCTTTCTTTTTGAGACAGAGTTTCCCTTTTGTCGCCCAGACTGGAGCGCAGCGGTGTGATCTCAGCTCACTGCAATCTCTGCCTCCCAGGTTCAAGCAGTTCTCCTACCTCAGCCTCCCAAGTAGCTGGGATTACAGGTGTGCACCACCATGCCCGACTAATTTTTGTTTTCTTAGTGGAGACGGGGGTCCACCATGTTGGCCAGGCTGGTATTAAACTCCTTTCCTCTGGTGATCTGCCTGCCTCAGCCTCCCAAAGCGCTGGGATTACAGGCACGAGCCACCGCACCTGGCCCATTTTTAGATACTCGTTATTATAGTATTCATTTCTTCTGATTTTAAATGAAATCGAAATTAAAGATTTTCAGGGACCCTAACAGTGCCTTGGGCCCTTGGTCCCGCACCTACTGGGTCTCATGGAGAAGCCAGCCCTGGTCTTGCCTTCTCTTCTGCCAACTTTAAAACCCCAGCCTGGGCAAAGCACTCAAAGAAAACGGTTCTCAAACTCAGACTGCCCCCTGCACCCCAGAGCTGAGAACACTGGGAGCGGGCACCTCCGTCTCATCCAACAGACTTCTGCAACTGCAGCCCTTGGGCCACACCTCCAGGAAGCCACCCCTGGTTAATCCTGCCAGCATACCACTTCCTCCTAGAAGCTCTTGCCGTGAACTGCCAGCAGGACCTCCAGAAGCTTTGGAGGGGGTCCTACCTGGGCGGTAAATCCTCCACGTTTTGGATTGCTCATCCAAGTCCAGAAGATGCCTGCTCTTCATCCTGTACAAGTCTCGGTTCACATCTTTTGCTGTCCTCAGTTTCAGCCCCTGGGCTATGCACAGAGCCCTTTGGGGACCATTGTCTTTGAGAAACCTGTAGATTTCTTTCTCTGGGAGGCAGGATGGCCAAGTGGTTAGGGAGGAGTCCTAGGGTTTGCATCTGCCCCACCGCTTCCTAGCTATGGGACCCGAACCCAGCCCCTCCAGGCCTGGTTTCCTCATCTGTAAAGTGGGCATCGTGATAATGGGGTAATGATGATGCATCACAGAGGTGCCCTGAGGGTGAGGAATGTGCAGTGTGCTGCGCTGTGCCTGGCACGTGGCGGGTGCACAGTGAGGACCAGCTGTTTACTGACTGGAGAAATCACTGCTGAGCCATTCAGATTCTCCCGTGAAGATTCTCCTGTGAAGGCTGGACCCTGGCTCTGAACACTGTGTGGGAGCCGCCTGGTGGGTGGGACCGGGCCCCTGAACACTGGTGAGATCTTGTACCCTCAGGGAGGGCTTGGGAGTCCTGGGGAGTGGGCTCCCATGTCCCGGGAGCTGAAGGGACGTGCAGAGGCTTACCTCGTTGGCTGAACTGAGGCCCAGGGCTCTCTGGAATTGTAGCTGCGCCTTGTAGGGACCTCTTGGCTGGAGAAAGAAAGACAGGTCAGAGGGCCGGGGGACAGAAGCGCACCAGGCCTCCACCCCACAAAGGTGGGCAGCTCCCTAGGGGCGAGTTGCAACCCTGGGAATTACAAACTCAAACTCCAGAGTTAAACACACTTGACTTCAAATCCTGCCTGTGCCCTGGCAGCTATGCGGCTTCCTGCTGATAAACTTCCCTGGGGCTCAGCCTCCTTTGCCTCCTGGGGTTCTGTGAGGGCTGGGTGAACCCCGAGACAGGGCCCTGCTGATGTTAAGTGCGTCATAAATGGCAGCTCGTTCCAGCTGTGGGCTTAAAGCTAGAAAAAGGGGCTGGTGGGACCGCATGCGTTCTGTGATTAGGACCGTCGAGTCCTTGCTGTTTCCATTGTGATGATTTTCTGTGATCATTGTTAGTTCCTTCCCCAGCACTTTCTGTGTGCAGGGCTGGGCTGAGCCTGGTGCAGTGACTCCCCTCAGCAACCCCTACCACGAAGTCTTGCTGTGAGCTCCCCCAACCAGAAGAAGAAACCAAGGCACAGAGAGGGAACCCGTGAGCGCCCACGTGGCAGAGCTCAGATTCAAACCCAGGCTCAAAGATGCACTTATCCATTGCCAGGATGGTCCCTGCCGTATCAGACCCAGCCCGGGGGTGGCAGTTACCAGGACTGGGGACAGCCAGCTCTGCAGGACCCTCGCCACCAGGACTAGCCCCACCCAAGCGCCAGGTGGCGGGGGCTGTGAGGGAGACTTTCAGCTCCGTTTTCATTCGGTAGAGGACTTGGTTGAGCTCCTTCTTGGGCACTTGGCATTCCTTCACCAGCTGGGCAAGCTTCACTGGAGAGCCAGCCTCCGTCAGCACCTGCAGGATCCTCTGTTCAAGGTGGTCTGGGGGAGCAGGAGGGGGACAGAGAGAGGAACTGAGTCCTCCAGGTCCCCACAGTTGAGGCCAGGCTGGAGGCTCCCGGAGGCATGTGAGGCCCCTTCTTGAGAGGGGTCCAGGGCAGAGCAAAAGTGCAAAGACCCCAGCAGACTCCCCCTAAGAGCTACAGAGCAGCTGACCTCCCCCACCCCCTCAAGAGAGAGACACGCAGGCTGATCAAAAAGGCCTTGACTGGGCAGCTGGGCAGCCTAGCAGCCAGAGGAGGTGCCACTTTGCCTGTCCCCTCCCCGGGTGGGGGCTCCAGAGGGCGGTGGGGTCCCTCAGCTCTCAGGTGTTCTCAGGGCAGAGGGGAATAGAGGGCAGAAGGATGGAGCCAGAGGGAGGCAGGGGGACTCCGGAGCACAAAGCCAAGTCCTGCACGGGACACCTGCCTGGGTGTACAGGATGCCCATCACCACCCTCCCTGGGACGCCTGCCCGGGTGTATGGGATGCCCATCACCACCCTCCCTGGGACGTCTGCCCGGGTGTATGGGATGCCCATCACCACCCTCCCTGGGATGTCTGCCCGGGTGTACAGGATGTCCATCACCACCCTCCCTGGGAATCCCCTCCTCTCGGCTCCCCATCCACTGCGTCACTATTCATCCAAGCCAGAAACCGACCAGACATCAGAAACAGCCCTTTCCCCCAATGCCCAGTCACGGAGTTCTGGAAATGCCATTTCTGGATTCTCTGGAATCCCCCCACTCCTCTCTTTTCTGCCACCTCCACCCTCTTCCTGGCCACCATCTCCTAGGTGCAGTGATAGGCTCTCCGTTGGCCCACCAGCTCCATTTGGGTGCCCTCCAGGTCCGGCACTGCCAACCACCCAGCTTGGCCTGCACCCACCCCCAACTTCCCTCCAAGTACTGGCCTGTCTGTGCTTCCTTTGGCCCCACTCACTCCAGGGCCTTTGCACAAGCCGTTCCTCCTGTCAGGAACACCCTTCTCTCACACCCCAACCTGTCTGATGTCTACACAACCTCCAGGTCTTCTCAGATGCCACTCCTTTGGGGAAGCCAGTCCCTGTGCCCCAGAGTGGCTGGAATGCTGCTTGTGTGTAGGTCTCCTGCAGAATGTCCCCTAGTGTCCCCTGCTATGCTTGCATGGCTCACTGTTGTACCTTCAGCATCTAGCACAGGGCTGGACACATAGTAGGTGCTCAGGAAATGGTGGTTGAATGCCTGAGTGACTGAAAGAATGAATGAGTGAATGAACTAATGAATGGGGCCAGGAGTGGTGGCTCACACTTGTAATCCTAGCATGTCAGGAGGCTCAGATGGAAGGATCCCTTGAGGCCAGGAGTTTTAGACCAGCCTGGGTAACATAGTGAGACCCCCATCTCTATAAAAAAAAGAAAAAATTCAGGTATGTTTGATGGCACGCACCTGTAGTCCCAGATGCTCAAGAGGCAGAAGTGGGAGATCGCTTGAACCTAGGAGTTTGTGGCTGCAGTGAGCTACGAATGCACTCTGCGCTCCAGCCTGGGCAACAGAGCAAGACCCCATATCTGGAAAGAAGCGGGATTGAGTGAGTGAGTGTCTGTCTCCAGGGACACACGCTTACCCAACAGACCCTGGGCAGGGCCCGGGAAGCTCCTCCCTGGCCAGTTGGCATATGCTCCTGTTTCCTGGCATGAGTTTACTGAACCCGAAGCAGGACCCCAAAAAATTCAAGGAGGAATTCTCCAAATGACCCTGCTCCTCCTGGGGCAGCTCTCAACAATCAAAACCATTAGCTTACACAGCAATTAAACAATCAAAGCCAGCTGCTCTGCCAGGAGATGAGACTGGGGCAGGCACAGCGTATGGGCAGCAACTGGCAGCCAGCAGCCTGGGAGGGCCACTGTGGGTGAGGCCCCACCTGTCACCAGGAAGCTTCTGCTTCAAGGAACCCAAGGGCAGTGCATGGGAGAGCCCTTCTTGGAAAGACCTGGGTCCGCTTCCCGGACAGTGACTCAATCCTTTGACCTCTGCGCTTTCTTTCCTGTTCACAGGATTTTCCTGCTCAAGGTGTGCCCGGGGCTGGGCTCCTTGGTCACAGCACTGGCAGGGGAGGGAAGAATGGCTGCGTGCAGGTGAAGAGCAATGAGAAGACCAGGAAGCTCCCACTCCTGTGCCCACCAAACTCCCCCAGCAGCAGCCAGCAGCCCCCCACCACCCGTGCGCCTGACTTCACACCTGGCTTTGCCTGGTCTCGCAGTTTTGATTCTGGAAGGCTTGCCCCAGGGAGCCACCGCCTCTGCTCCAGGGACCTCAGAGGGAATCGGGGTCAGAGCTGTGGATCCAGGACAAGCCTGGGTGCTGCGAGGGGTCGGCCGCAGAGCCCCAGGCTACTCTGTCTGCAAATGGGGCACTGTCAAATGGAGCAATTTGGTCATAAAAGGAAAGTCAACTGGGAGGAAAACAAGAAAAGCCAGGCAGGGCTGAGTCCGGAAAGTCTGCCTGCACGTGAGTCCCACAGAGGAAGCGCCACCGGAACTCCGTAGCCAGCCCGGCTCCTGGGCCACGCCCTGGCAGCAGCCCTCCAGGGCACACTCCAGGTTGGTTCTTAAAAAATTTCTGATGGCTGATTTCCGGCGTTTGAGCTCCTGGCTCTGCCAGCTATCAGCTATGTGATATCTCCCGACTCCAGATTCCCCCTTCTGTGAAATGGAGCCGACAGTAACTACTTCAAAGATTGTGGTGAGGATTAAAAAGAAACCAAACGTGCCCCCAAAGCCGCAAAACCACACTTCATCTACCGTCCGCAGCTCCTAGAGGACACCCGAGAGAGCAGCCATGGCTGGGCACGCTATGGGCTCTCACTGCAACTCTTCCAGGAATAAAATGAGCAAAATGTTAGCTGAGGAAAGAACGCAGCAAGGGGAAACAAAGGCACACACGTATCTCATCAGAGCAAACTGCTTTGCTCTCGACTGGGATGGGCGTTCTGACACTGGCACCGGCGCCTGCCAGCTGTGATACCCCGAGAGTGTCATTTCACTTCTCAGCGCCTCAGTTATCTATGCAGTGGGGAAGACACCGCACTTGTCCGTGCGGGCCATAGAGAAATGCTTGCAAGGCATGTTTCAAGGTGCCTGGGGCATAGTCAGCTGCCGCAGGAGGATGGCTATGTGGTCCTTGCCTTTCTACTATTTTTTTTTTTTTTTTGAGATGCAGTCTCGCTCTGTCACCCAGGCTGGAGTGCACTGGCACCATCTCTGCTCACTGCAACTTCTGCCTCCTGGGTTCAAGCAATTCTCCTGCCTCAGCCTCCCAAGTGGCTGGGATCACAGGCATGCGCCACCACACCTGGCTAAGTTTTGTATTTTTAGTAGAGAAGGGGTTTGTTTGACCATGTTGGCCAGGCTGGTCTCAAACACCTGAGCTCAAGAGATCCACCTGCCTCGGTCTCTCAAAGTGCTGGGATGACAGGTGGGAGCCACCACACCTGGCGGGTCTACTATTCTTTTTTTTTTTTTTTTTGAGATGAAGTCTCACTTTGTCACCCAGGCTGGAATGCAGTGGTGTGATCTCGACTCACTGCAACCTCTGCCTCCTAAGTTCAAGCGATTCTCCTGCCTCAGCCTCCCAAGTAATTCCCGGCTAATTTCTGTATTTTTAGTAGAGATGGGGTTTCATCATATTGGCCAGGCTGGTCTCGAAATTGTGATCTGCCTGCCTTGACCTCCCAAAGAATAAAGTTGTCCTGTATTTTATTCCTGGAATTATGCGATGAAAGCCAGCTGCAGTGAGCCTCCCAAAGGATTATAGGCGTGAGCTGCCACACCCGTTCTGGTCTGCTATTTTTTAGGATACTGCTATTGTCATCATGGTCTGAGCCAAGCAAAAGAGGAAGAAAGAGAAGTGGAAATCTCACCCTGGAAGCTACCGCTGGTCCGTGGAAGGAAGAAGTACCATACCTTCTTTGCCTGGATCAGCAGGAGCCTGGGCCATGCTGACGACAGCTGCAGGGAGCGGGAGAGACTTGCCAGGTGGTGCAGGCTCCTGCGCTCTGGCCTTGAGAGAATGGGCTGGGTCGAAGCTGGGGTTCTCACTTGGCCGAGCCTGGTGCTTCGTGCAGCTCTGAACTCCGCAAGGGAAGGGATGTCTGCTTCCACTGGGCGGGTATCAGCTGTTTACACCCCGGAAATAGACGCCTAGCCAGACCGGCCAGATGAAGTTTCTGAAGAAAAAGAAAATGAAACTTCTCCGTGTGGCTTTTCAAAGAAACCACATTGAGAGCAGGATGGATGAGCAAGCCCGAGTTGGGGCCCTGACTTGATGTTGACAGGGAGGAGCTGTAAACTCGCCGAGGGCAGCATCCTCTGAAGAGGACTTCCCTCACCTTCCCAGCCCCAGGTGCAGCCCACCTCGACCTCTGCATTTTTATTATCTGAATCAGCATCGGAGGCTCAAAAAAAAAAAAAAAAAAAAAAGAGCATGTACCACCTGTAGGGGTGACGTCAGGGGGTGCCATCGCTCTGACGATGTCAGAAGCTGGGGCTGGACACTTGGTTTCCATGTTTTGTTTTGGAAATGGTTTCTGTCACCCAGGCTGATGTGCAGTGGTGCCATCATGGCTCACTGCAGCCTTGACCTCCTGGGCTTCAGTGATCTTCCCACCTCTCAGCCTCCCTAGTAGCTGGGACCACAGGCCTATACCACCATCCCAGCTAATTTTTGTATTTTCTGTAGAGATGGGGTTTCATCATGTTGCCCAGGCTGATCTCAAACTCCTGGGCTCAAGTGATCCGCCTGCCGCGGCCTCACGCAGTGCTGGGATTCCAGGCACAAGCCCCCATGCCCGCCCCGCCTGGGTCTGGCGGTACTTCCTTCTCCAGGACTCACAGGTGCTGACCGAGGCGCTGTCCCCAGCTCCCAATGGTTTTTCTTGTCTCCTCCCCAGTTTATTTCCCTGGCCCACACTAGGGGCAGAACATTTAGGTGGGTGAGTGTCCTGAGATTGTCCCCGTGCATATCCAACTGAGCCTCTTTAATGAACACCTACTATGTGCTTTCCAATCTCAAGTGCTCCTCCAACCCATCTACAGGGTAGGGGCCAGTTCTTTCTTATTCTCAGAGGGGAAACTGAGGCCAGAAAGGCAAGACCACTTGTCCAAGGCCACGCAGAGTCCGTGGCACAGCATGTCCTGTCCATTCCCCAATTGTGTTTCCTGATCTGTAACATCAAAAGTCACAGGTGAATCACCCTTAGCACACAGATGGCATGGAGTTCCCAGGTTTGCCATAGAACTTGCTTATTAATTCCAGAGTCAGATGCCTGAGGTCAGCATCTGAAAACTGGCAGCTGAGCTCAGTGGTTTGGCATGCAAGCTTGGGGCCAGCATGCTTGGGTCCAAACCCCGCTGCACCATTTCTGGCTGTGTGACCTTGGACAAGTTATTTAACCTCTCAGTGCCTCAGTTTCCTTATGTGTAAAAGGGCTTAATCGAAGGAGCTAGCTCATGGGGTTGAGGTGAGGACTTAAAGGGCTAACCCAGCCCAGCTGTCGGGCGGGAGCCCCAGCGCCATCCGTGGTCATGGCTACTGTCATCACCCCACAGGAATGTGTCTGGGAGAGCATCCGTTGCTCCCATACATTCTCAAAAGGGCCAGTGACCCCAGAAAAATTCAGAGCCACTGTTCTCTTCCAGATCACAGAAGGGGAAACAGATCCACAGAGGTGAATGCTGTGTACAAGGCTTCCCAGCTCACGGCAGCCACTGGGGTTGAGAGCTCCGCCCTGAAAATCTGGACTTGGGGTCTGTGTCTCATCTGCAGAGGGCTGGGAGGGCTGAAGGGTCCGCGCTCCTTGCAGACCCCATAGATGCATAAGGAGTGGCTCAGCAGCAAATACAAATGGAAAGGGGGTCCGGAGGTTTGTCTCCACGCTGTCTGTCTTTGCAGGGCGAGCCCCTGGAGCCCGGGTCCTCAGCCCCACCTGCATGTTAAGGGTTTGAAGAAAAAAGGAATCTCAACGGCCAGACCGTCCCAGACTAATCAACTCCAACCTCTGGGGCTGGGCCCAAGGACACGCTTTTTATGCTCCCAGGTGACTTTTTTGGCTTCCAGGCGGAGAACCAGTGAGTGTTGGGGCAAGTCAGTAACAAACCGCAGGGACGCTTTCCTCCTCCTTTTATGTAAAAGCGAAAACGGTGTGTGTCACCATATGAAATGACAACAGTGCTCTTTAAATGGGGGCGGGCGGGTGCTGAGGGGGGTGAAGGTGCCTTCCGGGAGGGGCTCCGGTGAGCCCGGCGAGGTTGAGCCCCTCGCGTGTCTGGGGTGCCATACGAGGACTGGCCACCAGGTGACGCCGCTCAGCAGCCTGGGCGTGGGCCCACCTGGTCTCGGGTCCCCTCTGATCTGCAGGAGGAGCTCCCGCCCCCACCCATGGGTGGACTCCAGACTTAACGGGTCGCGGCTCCAAGACACGCCTCCGGCTCCCACTGCCTTGTGCTGCCTCATCCTCTACTCTTCCTGTCCCTCCAGTCCCTCGCCGCTCGTCTTTCCTGGAAGGGGTCAGATCCCAGCTGTTTCTCTGAGAAGCCTCGGGCAGTCCTTTGTGTCCCCTCCGCCGGCCTGGCCTCCCAGGGCTGGTCTTGCCGCAGCCCCTCTCTCCCCGGTGGGGGAACTGCCTCTCCCTCCGCCTCCAGGGCCCGCCCTCGCTTCTCCCCTTCCCTCCCTGGCCTCTGCAGCTCAGGCCTTGACCCCGGCTCGCTGGTGGGCTTGCAGGTCAGGTTGAGGGGCGCTAGCGTGGTCCTGGGTGTCAGCCTTGCTTCTAGGAGGATGGTTCCTGCTGCAGGGGTGGAGGCTGGTGCCTCTCATGGCTGCTCTCCATCCGCGCTGTGCTTGGGTGACCCCTTCCTGCGCCCATGGCCCCATCCTGAAGTCACGTGGAGCCCCGCTGGGCCTGAGCCATTCTTAAGAGTCTGTAGCAGGGACCAACGTGCCAGCGGAGACCAGGCGCCTGCAGAAGTTCCTGGGCAAGGAGTCTGCCTCGTCTCTTCTCCAGGGCAGGCTCTCCTTCCCAGCTGCGTGGCGTTACCTCTCTGAGCCTCAGTTTCTTTAACTATAAAACAGAGATAAGAAGAAAAAGCATTTTTGACTCTTAGTGTGTGCTCGCAAAATCTGCGTAAGTTAGAAAGTGTGACGCATCTCCGCGGTATCACTGTCGGCACCAGAAAAACAAGCAAGCAAAGGGAGAGTAGACAAAGAGAAAGAAAAACACGTTTCACGTGTGTGTGTGGGGGGGTCCGCCTCTCTCTGCATTCCGTGGCACACCTGGAGATGAAGCCAGGAATCTGCTGTGTGCTTGTCACCCCACCGAGTGGGAGTCTTACTTTTAAAGACTTGGATTACCTTTATTTCTCTTCTCAACTAAAGAGATTTTTTTTAAATTTTATTATTTATTTATTTTATTTTATTTTACTTTTTTATTGCATTTTAGGTTTTGGGGTACATGTGAAGAACATGCAAGAGTGTTGCATAGGTACACACATGGCAGTGTGATTTGCTGCCTTTCTCCCCCTCACCTGTATCTGGCATTTCTCCCCATGCTCTCTCTCCCCAACTCCGCACCTCCCCGTCCCTCCCCCATTTCCCCCCAACGGACCCCAGTGTGTAGTGCTCCCCTCCCTGTGTCCATGTGTTCTCATTGTTCAACACCCGCCTATGAGTGAGAATCTGCGGTGTTTGATTTTCTGCTTTTGTGTCAGTTTGCTGAGAATGATGGTTTCCAGGTTCATCCATGTCCCTACAAAGGACACAAACTCATCGTTTTTGATGGCTGCGTAATATTCCATGGTGCATATGTACCACATTTTCCCTGTCCATCTATCAGAGATTTTTAAGTTGAGTTTGACCCGAGGGATTATCTTTAAGCCTCAATACCACTGGTTTAAACAAGAGTTGTGTCTTTCTCTTGTGACAGTTGCAGGCATTCCAGGGTCAGTGTGGTGACCCGGGGTCCTTCTACCTTGTTGGCCTGTCATTTGTGGCCTTCATTCCCAGGTTTGCCTTACATTTTAACTCGGCTGCTCAAGTTCCAGCCATCACATCTGCATTCCTTCCAGCAGGAAGTAGGAAAGGGAAGAAGGGCAGATATCTCCCTTTAAGCATTACGTCTTGCAAGTTGCACACACATTTCACTAATACCCCGTTGGTCAATTCTGTGGCTCATACCTGCAAGGGAGCCCTGGAAAGATGGTCTGTATTGTGGGTCACCATGTGCTCAGCTAAAATTGGGTCTCTACTACTTTAAAATGGGGGACAGCAGATATTGGCAGAGACCTAGCTATGTCTGCCATTTCAAGGGTCCATTGTGCCCCCAAGGAAGGAGCAAAGATACCTCCTCTGCCCTCAGGTGTGTCCACTCACTGGGGTTTCTTTACTCAGCAGTGGCTGTGCCTCTTGATTCTGCTTGGAAAGGGGCCTCGAAGGCTGCCAGACTTCCAAGATGGCGCCGCTGCCTGCTGGAGTCCACATCTCCTTTTGCCTTGGAAAGTGCACTCCCTGTTCATGGCTTGTGTTTTTCTGGAAACTATTAGAGCTCTCCGCCCAAACCAGATGATAATTACATGTTACTGATCTTGAGTCTTTACATTTTTCTCTCTCTCTTTTAAAAGAGAGATATTTTTACTGCACATTGTGTTGACAAAACCCAAGTCTTCTTTCTACCAGGCAGCCTGGATTTTATTTTCAGATTTCCTCTGGGAATTCATGAAGCCGGGAGGCGGTGGAAAGGTACTAAATGTGAATAATAACATGTCTTTGGTCAGGGACAAGGGTCAGAGAACCAGGGGTGGCTGAAGAGGGGAGTGGAGACTGCCCAGGGTCACAGAGTCATCCTCCCGGGGCGGAATGAGGACTGAGTAAAACTGGTGTGTCCAGGAAAGCAGGCTCCCATCGCAGTCCCCGCAGGAGTCTGCCCCGGCCCTGTTCTCTGCTCTTCAAGGCAGAGCTCTTGCTGGGGCCTCCATTGTTTGTCTGTGTCCACTGGAGTTTAAGAGACCTGGGGTTCTGGTCTTGGCACCCCCCTTTTTAGCTCTGTGCCTTGAGCAAGTCACTGCTCTAGCTGAGCCTCAGT